CCCCCAACTCCGGACGCAGGTGTGAAGGATGCGATGCAGCGCGGCCCGCCTTCCCTTTGCCCCAATTTCCGGACAATAAATCTCTACGAACCCCAGAGCCGATCTCTCTCTCCTCCGCTGGGCCCGCCGGCCCCGCCTCGCCCCGCCTCGCCCCGCCTCGCCCCGCCTCGCCCCGAGCTCTGAGCGCCGCGCAGAGCACCAAGTTACTTCTGATCCCACACCTCCCCGCCTATCGAGGGCGCACGTCGACATTTATGTTATGCGCACACTTATTTATTGGTTTTAAAATGTTTCTAGGAATGCTTTCACGCAGGAAGGACACCCCGACGCCGACGCCTGGTCATAGGCCACTAGGCCAACAGAATGGACACAAATTTAAATAATCCGGAATAATCAAACATAATTCAACCCGCGAAGTTAAATAATAATTTCATCTGTATTGGTTTCTGGTTACTATCTGATTTACTAGCTTGGGAGCTTGGTGTACAATATTGAGACCTTACATGTATCCTAACGGTCATCATTTGTCTCAATATTCAAATACATTTGGACCCATAGGCTAAAAATAAAAAATTGATGTTTAAAACGAAAAAGACGAAAAAAACCACAGAGGGGTCAAATGACCCGGCGCGGCATCAGAACCCGGCCGTTCTAGAGTTAACAAATTGACCGCTCAAATGATAGAAAATGCGAGTTGATGGCTACGATTCCTCTCTAGGGCGCGCAATGAAGAAACCATGAAGCCCGGGGAGACGTACCCTCCGCACATCATCCTCCTCGCTCCAAAACCATCAAGCGGCGTCACTCAGGTGAAAGGACCTCTCTATCACTCTGAAAGTATGAAGAATCACGGTGGGGCGGAGGGGAGGCACACAGAAGGGGAGGGGGTGGTATAAAGAGGGAGAGGGGGTGGAATGAGGAAAAGGGGCAAAGAGAGATCTGTCATTGGCTGGCTAGGCTGGGCGCTGGGCGCTGCACGCCGCACTACCCCGGCACAAGTTGTCATTAGCATGCAGGCTGCTGCGGCCAGCCCAGCCGCTTTATGTGGCCAGCGAGTGCAGTGCCAAACACACGTAACGAGCGAGCCAGCGGGGGTGGGCGCGTGGTAGTCACGGCCCCGCGGCCGGCTGACTGGGCAGGTACGCACATCAGTCAATTTATCAGCGGAGGAAAAGAAATCGGAAGCGGGCGGGGCACATGGGATGGGGCCACAATTATTGGAGAGGGGCGGGGAGAGTTGGTCCGCGAGTCCGCGCTCAGCGGTAACTGGTTTCGCCGTGGTTACGCCCGTCCCTAACAAGGGGACGTTTTCCGTTTTCTGGCAATAGAGTCCAAACTCGCTTATTAAATGTTTCTGACAACCCTACTCTAAACCCAAATGTGTACATAGTACACTCTTCCTTGTGTGTACTTGAAAGCACATACTAGGAAGTGTGTGCCTTGTGCCTGGCATGGAACACAATAGGAAGTGTGTACATGCGTGGCACACATTTAGCGCCACATAGCGTAGCGCTATGGCAAGTAGTGCACACTTCCAAGTGTGTGCCACGCATGTACACACTTCCTAGTGTTTGCCATGCCAGACACACAATTCCTTGTGTGTGCTTTCAAGTTCACACAAGGAAAAGTGTATTATGTAAATACTTGGGTTTGCTGTGTAGACAAAGTTTCACACCGGTTTCAGCTGTCCCGTAGGTTTTTGGAGGTCATTTCAAACAAATTTACAGGAAATCATCCAAAAAAATTTGATCTTAGGTCAAAACTCGGGCATTTAAGCCATATAAAAATTCAAATGTGGGGAAACTTTGAACGGCCATAACTCCGAGAGTATTTGAGCGAAGCGGAGGGATGGCAGGAAACTTGCAAACCTAAATAGTATTTCTGGTTTATTTTGGGTGGGTGACGATCAGATAAGGAAATAAGTGTTGCGGGCTCATTTTAGTCTATTTTCATCGTGATAACTGGTGTTAACACTGTTTTAGGTACTTTTGGGGGACTGGTTGGGCTGTAAGATCATATCCGTCAAATCCAACGACAAATTCAGATTCAGCCAACGTTTTCACAAACGAGCGCAAAGAAAAGCAAATATTTTTTAAGAGCTAAGTGAAATTGTGGAATTTTAGCAAAAGTGACTAAAATAGGCAAAAACAAAACCGTTTAACGGGCAAACTTCAGCAGTATTTGAGACACAGCGGGCTGGTTTTGTACAACAACTATCTTTTGGTAAGATTTTCATTGGGGGGAAAAACTACCCAAATTTACGTGATCTGCGGTAATCCAGGCTTCAAAATAAATGTCAACTTATATCCCATATTGGCGGCAGTACTAAAACTTTCGATCGATTTCCCCAGAAAAGAGTGTTTTCCGTCAAATCAAATATCGTCCGAACTATCTAAAATTTGTATGCAAGATTTATGATGTGGACATGTTTGTGCATACTTGGGGATGAGAAGTTGTGCATAACTATGGCTGCTCGAAATTCTGCGAGTCTTATGCACGACATCAGGGTTCAGTGAGGATAACTCCACTACTCCTTGAAGTTCATTGAGGGGGGCTCACCTCATGGCGATGGCGTAATCCTTAGGGCAGGGCAGTCGTAATCCTCACGCACACACACACGCACACCCACACGCACAAACACACTGACACACACACACACACACGCACGCGCACGCGCACGCGAGGTGGCGGGGGTGTGTGCGGGGCACTCGGTCGCGTCGTGGAGCTCGCTCGTGGAGCTCGCTCGCCGTGTGGCCCCGGTGCTGCTCCACTGCTCCGCTGCTCCGCTGGCTCCGCTGGCCTGGCCCCCCGCCGCGCTACTGCCTGGGTCAGGCGCAGCCCGCGCCGCCCGCGCAGCCCGCGCAGCGCCCCCGGGCCGGGCCGCCTCTGGACGCGCAGCGCCATCTCCCGGCGGCGTGCCGCACCTGGGCATCATTAGCACAAAGGCAAGGGCGATGCAAAACTCGATGTAATATGAACGCCGGGGGAGCCCCCTGACAGACAACAAAGTGGCGGGGCAAGACGAGCACGGCGTCAAATTTCGTATCCACACCACTATTAAAAATTTCGGAACAACAAAACGTGTCTCTTATAGCGGGGCAGGAAGCACACTTCCGCGCCACTGGGGTGTTCCAGTTGCAGGGGGCGGGGCGGGGAGGGCGCAGTTGCCTCCGGTTCCTCCGGTCCTCGCGCACCGAGGGCGCTCGCTCCTCGAGACGGGATGGGGCACACAAACGATGGGACGCATTCAAAACAAGCCCAACAAAGGCCCACGGCTCCTCCTGACGTCGAGCGGGCCGGGGCCGCCGGGCCGGGGACGCCGTCGTTACGGGCCGACTCCTGCCTGCGAGGGTAGAAAAGGGAAAGAGGCGTTCGGACAAAAGAGCGCTCATCAGGGAGACTTGAGCTGCACGCCCAACCAGTCAGGCAGCCAACGCAACGACAGAGTGCAGCCGCGTGCGCCCGTGCAGTCATGGCAGGGCAAACTACGACCTTTCCGAGGAAGGGGCTAAAACTCGTCAAAGACACATACAGAAAAATGCAAACAATGACAAAGAAAAACTCGGAAATACACTCGAAAATACGCCGTTATTTTTACGACACACATCGTGGAAAAATTTCCCGTAAACCTTATGACACCTCCTGTACACCTACCCTGGGTGCGCGTTAGAAAATCTAGGATGTGCTGCATCCAATAAAATTCCCCCGCCCCCCGCCCCTCCTCCCACATTTCCACTTCACTTCCCTCCCTCCTCCCTCGCAAGGCAGGGCGTCGACGGGGCGGTGGTACTGCGGTCGACACCAGGATAAGGCATCCATGGATCTGGAGCCTGGAGGCTGGCCTGGAGGCTCGCCTGGAGGCTCGCCTGGAGGGCGCCACGGGCCAGACATCAGTATTCAAGGGGGTCGCCGCCATCTCCGTGTGGACACGGGGGCAGCGGTACGGCTGGGCCGGGGCACAATGGCTGAGCCGGGCGGAGCCGGGCGGAGCCGGGCCGGCGGCAAAACCTTTGGGAATGCGCGGGTCACAAAAAGAAAACAACAGCCCAGGCACGGCCGGGTAAATTGGCCACGTAAAAAGCAGTAAAGCCGGGGGAGGAGGCTGGAAGTGGCGCGGGGCGTTGCACCAGCCGGAGGAGAGTGAGGGGCAGAAATAGTGCGACGAACGGTTTGAAACAATTGTTGTTATAGCTGAAAGAACGAACTAGGACACAAAGAAATCGTGATGTTGCGAATAGTTTCATTTCATACACGAACAGTTGACGAGTAATGCTCGTCGTTTTCAGTCATGAACTTTTTGTGACAGATCGGTATATCGTGAAATGACGAAATGCATTGTAATAATGAAGCGCAATAGATGAAACGGGCTTAATAGAGGTGAAAGCGATAGTGGCCTGCAGGCCTACAGCCCGCATCAAAGTCCAGAGTGATTACCCTGGGATTACCCGATCTCTGCCCTAAACACAATATCAGTACTTTCTGACAGTGGGCTATTTACATACTTCAGTACGTGGGGGGTTGGGGGGAGGGGGGAGCTAGCATAAAGAAAAAGGCAGGGGTCTGACTCGTCCTTTTCGACAAACATGAGAAATCACATAGGATGGAGGAAAAACAAATATTTCACCCACTGTTTTGCGATGGCGGCAGGCTGAGGGCTGAGCCGCACCGCGCGCACAGGTAGGTACTGCGAGCACATGTTTGCCCGATACAATCGATGAGCAGCGCCCTTCACCCTGCGGACCTGCATCCCCCCGCCCCCTTCCTACCGTGGCCAGCCTTACCCCACTTCGCACACGCACACGCACGCACCACACACACGCACCCACACACACACACTCGCACGCGCCCGCGCTAGGGCGAGGCTGTCCCCCACATTCATTACCTCCCGGATTCGATTATGCAGGCCGCGCTCGCCCCACCCAGACCGGGCTGGCCCCCCCGAGCTGATAGTGCTAGCTAGCTCTGGCTCCTATCTCCGCTCTTCTATACTTCACACGGGCAAAACAAAAAAAAACAGTCTCTTCCAGGGGTGTGGAACTGGACACAAATATTGTGTGACATTGGGAAAAACGTTCAAAAACAATCATGTCACAATCGGCAACAATCACACACCACGATCCGAAACAACCCCATATAATCACAATCATACACCCAAGGAGAACGCCCAAGTCAAAATTACGTCAAAATGACTTGGAAGTGGTGGACCTGCGTAGGGCGGGCACTATCCGGGCACCTCGCTCTGTGACCCCTGCCCGGCCCGGCCCTGCCCGGCGGGTAGCGAGGTGCCCGTGGGCTCTTGCTGCCCGCAAGCTGTGCGTCTCTCTCGCACCAACGCGTTTCGCCGCCTCTGAGGTGCCCGGCGGATGTGCCCGTCGTTTGGCGGGCAGTTGCGGTAGCAGCTTGTGGCAGCGCTTGGATCGAACGGGCACCTCGCCGGTGGAATCCCGAGCGCTCGCTGAGAGGTGCCCAATGCCGCCCGCCCTAGGTCCCTAGTCATTTTGATCTTCAAATCTAGTCCTCCGAGGTACGGACGTAGACGTCAAAGTGACCTGCAAATGCACTATTTTGACCCCGTTCTGACTTTGAGTTCTCACTGTGACACAATTTGAAACAGCCGCAAACAATCCGAAACAATGATAGGCCTATCGTCTCCACACAGTGTTGTGTAACACTTTTTGGCCAGTTCCGCACCCCTCGATCCTCTTCCTAATTTTGAAATTTACTTGTACTTTGTTCTGGTTTACCGTCATTGCAAATGAAATGAGGGAGGCCCGGGATACTTGAACATACCCAACCCCCACTTTTAAAACAACCGCACGCCAAAGGGAATAGCCGGAAGGTGACCCGCCCTTCTGGCTCTTGATCGGTTTTGTACCCACATACATTTTTCACCGTGGATCATTACCTGGAGTAAGAGAGTTTAACACTGTACTGAGAACAGTACTTCTTTTTTTAGGGATCGTCAAGAAAGTACAAACATTTCTCAGATTAATTTGATCATTCGGCAAACTACGGGAGCTCGGCGCCTGCGAGACTCGGGGTAGACAAGCCCGCAGTGCACCCATGCACTGCAGGCAAGATGTTGCCTGCCTATCAGGCGCTATCAGACCTTGCATTGGCTGGCCCTTTATTATTATCCCCCTTGGTAAGCTATAAAGGGCCCGTGACTTAAAGCCAAGCACTGGGATCAACTCAGGGTGTTACGACAAGGGAGAGCGAGGGAGGGCGGGCTCCGCGAGGCATCGGCTGCGGCAGGGCAGGACGCCAGCTGGACGAACCTGGTCATGGTCCCAGGTCTCAAAAGACCCCTGGGTATGCGTTGTGGGCGTAGTTACGTGGCTTACGGGACACCTCAAGCACAGTTCCAGGTCGGTCTCACAGCCCGTGGCGCGGCCGTCGAAGTTGTCGCCGGGGACGCCTGCGAGGTAGGCCACGGAATCTCCAAAGGGGACTTTCGGTTTGGGCCTACTTTCGACCCCCGTGGGCCCCTGACCCTGCCTGCTGCATGGATATGACGAGGGCTTCGGAGGGGAATTAGTACCTCTAGTTTTCTTATTTGCTCTTGGCGGTGTTGGCTTCTCACAGCGCATCTTTCCATTCCATGTTCTTTTTGAGTCAGAATAAACTTAGAAGAAGTACTGTCCTGGAGAAATCTTCCTTCTAAAACGTGTGGAGTGCCTAACACTCACGTAGGTCTCAAAAAACAGGCCAACCCTATATGGAAGTTAAATTACGTTTTTATTTAAATTGAAATTATTATTTGTACACATCTGAAGCACAGGGACTTTTATTGAACGTAGTGTCATAGGCTTTAAACACCAGTACTAAACAATATTCAAATGTGTTTCAAGGTTCAGCATTTTGTAAAATTGCTCAAAAGTAGGTGGATATTTCTTTTTCTTTCTTTAATATAATGACTAGAACTAAAAATTACAAATTTAATCTGTCTTTACAGCATGGATGGCATAGTTAATACTTACATTCTGTGACCAATGCCATTCATCTGTTAGTGGGTTATAACACATGCCATGTAAGAGCTTTGTAAAGCATCCATCTACAACAAAAAAAATTATTATTTTAATCATATTGAACGTTTGTTTCAGAAATGTGTTGAAAATAATCAGAAGAAATAAAACTCACTTACATTTTTCAAGCATTATCTGAAGCTCAGATGGTTGAATGAATAGTTCCCATTGATGTGTGCCCTGTGGGACAAGTCTTGCTACATATTCAGCCATAACAACTCCACCAAGCCAGGAGAGAGTTGTGCGATTCAGTGTTGTGATAAATAAAGATCCCCTTGGCTATAGAAACACATAATTATGAAATGAATAGCAGGAAAATTCATCATTGAGGAAATTGCACTTATTCCGTTGGTAGTACCTTCAACAATTTTGTGCACTGCTCTATGAAGAAATGCTTATCTTTTACATGCTCTATGACCTCAGAGGAAACAACAGCATCATACTTTGCTTCAGCTTCACATGCATGAGTTTCTGCTAAAGTGTGAATATAGGTAAGTCTATTTTGCAGGGAAGGATCCAATTGCGCATGTTGCTGTGCTATCTCAATAAGCTCAGCGCTTGCATCAATGCCAGTGACAGATGCTCCCAACCTTGCAAGGGGCTGTCAACAAAAATTCAATTAGAGGAAGAACAAAAGCTCGACAAAAGAAATGAGCTCAGCTACAGAAAATGCATACCTCAGAAAGCAGCCCTCCACCACAGCCAACATCAACTATGTTTAAACCTTCAAGAGGTCTTGGTGTATTCTTTCTATCACTGCAAGCGGCACCTGTTTGGAATAGACCATCTCGAACCAGTGGCACTCTAAAAAGACAGGAATAATCAGAAAATATCAATCAAAATTACATCAAATATACATGAATTTGGTCAAAATTTTGTCTAAACTAGGACATTATGGCATCAAAATTTAATTTATTTAAGACATAAGACTGAAGTCCAATCAATTGAGCATTGCTCACTGGGGCTGTATTTCTGATGGGCATAGTATGCCAGGTGATCTTACCGTAAGGAGTTCATCGACTGCAATGCTTTAAGGAACCCTGAATCATCCCACCAGTTTTCGGCCAGCTTGCTATGATGACTCACGGTGGAGGGGTCAACTGAAGTTTGCGATGATTTGTGCCCATTCTGCACAGTTGTGAATGGTCTATAATTATAAATATGAAATGAAAAAAAAACAAATGTTATAATAAGGTCAGATAGGAAAATTGACTAATGAAGATTTAGTAAATTCTCCCAACAAATGTAGTATAGTAATGCAACTTGCCTGACACTCTGACACAAGAATGCAGACCGAGATTTGGCTACACTTGAAACGATTGTTGACACAGACATTTTTAGATGATTTTCTGAAGATAGCGCCGAAGTATTGAGTTGGTGATCTAAAAAACATCATTCACAGTTGAAGAGAGGACAAAAATGGCTAAACTGGTGTTTCGGTTTCATAATTGTACTCGTGAGTTTAAGGTTAAGAACTCAAATAGCATTTCTTTAGTCTTATGAACAGAAACTCGCGTGGAATAGAAGGGAAGATTTCATGTAGTCTCTTGACCCTTGTAAGCTTGTATTATTCAGATTAAAAAAAGTTTTGTCTGGATCAAGAACAAAGTAAAAATGTAAACAAACCATTAACAAGCAAAGCAGAAAAGATATTATTCGCACATAGCTATCGGCATCGGCCGCCCTGCCTCGACCTGCCTACTGCGCCGTGGTGCTCTATCGGCAGGCGGGGGCCAAGGGCCAAGATGGCGGACTTCGACGCGATCTACGAGGAGGGCGAGGAAAACAACGAGGAGCCTGATGCTGTCCCCGAGTCCACCGTGTCTCTGGCGCCCGACCCGGTCATCATCAGAGGCGCGGGCAACATGACCATGTGAGGAACTTCCCCCGAGCCCTACAGGGAGTCTAAAACAGGGAGCTCCCTCCCTCCCCCTTCCCCCCTCCCTGCCCCCTGCAGCAAAACAAAGACCTTATTTCTGGTACCCAACGTCCCACCTTCTTAATTTATTACGTCTAGCACTGTGAGTCTATTTTAAATTCAAGATATTCGTTTTATAAACCGCTGCATCTCAAGGAGGTTGTCATATTTTTTTTATTTTTGTCTGGGTGATAGTAAGTGTTTTTTGGAACACATGTCGCTTAGCCCATGTTGTGTCGTCAATCTTTTAAGTGTGTATTAAGTGCTTTTCTAATGCTTGCTAAATCTCAGAGAATGCCTTGCTCTATTTTCCTTTATTCCACTTGGTTCGAAAGTTTTGCCAACGAGTTCAAAATATATCATTTCACTTTGTCAAAGTCTGTCAACTTTTGAATAGGTACCCAAACTGCCAGGGACTCAGATGCTTTTGCATATCAAACTAAATATCTTTCTTCTTTCTTCCAGATTTGGTCTAAGCAATCGGTTTGAATGCGAGTTTCCTAGTGGACTTGTTTCTCGAGTTGCACCTGAAGAATATAAAGCGACAATAATGAGAGCTAATAGTGTTCTCAAGAAAACCTTACCTGTTAATGTGAAATGGCTGTTCTGTGGATGCGTTTGTTGTTGTTGTACCCTTGGATGCTCACTTTGGCCTGTCATCTGTCTTAGTAAAAGGGTAAGCTGATTTTAAAAGTTACATTTAGTACTGAATTTACATAAATCAATATCTTTTTAAGATGAATACTCATGAGGAAAAGTGGGGCACATCGTGATTTTTTCCAAGTTTGCTGCACTAGGCTTTTTGCACTTTTTTCTTTTAGTTAGGAAGTTATGAAATCACATGTCATGACCTAACTTGTGCTAAAAGACATGCAAATCTGCATTGAGTTTTTAAAATTTTATTTTTTACATTTTCCTGTCACTTTTTTATTTAATCTGTCAGTTACGTTCTTTGCTTGAACATTACTTCTTGCTTGATACTTTTGTATCAATTGGGCATGTGGTTGAGATTTTCTATAGCTTCAATGTCATTTAACATGTGCCTCACCCTCCGTAATTTAGTTCATCAATATCAGCTCTTTCTTAAGAACGCTGAGTCATATATATAATATGTATGGTAAGAATATCCCACCTTGGATTACAGACCCAGCATTCTATAGATAAGCTGCTTGAATGGGAGAATAGCAGGTTATATCACAAGTTGGGACTTCACTGGAGACTCACCAAGCAGCGATGTGATTCCTCCTCAATGATGGAATATGTAAGTTAAAATCTACAAGCTTCACTGCAGAGTTGTCAGAGTTTTGTCTCTTAAATGTTGATATTTTTTCCTCCAGGTCCTTCAAATAGAGTTCATTCCGAAGATACCAATATATAAGCCTGATTGAAATGAAGTATGGAATTCTTTAATGAACATACTTATTTTTCTCCAATCACTGCAGTGCTTCTTGTCGGGTCCACATAGTCACAATTTAGGGTATGTTGAATTTTTTTAATTGTTATTTTGTTGTTTGTGGGATATGAACTTTGGAACTGATTGTTGTTAAAATGAAATCATAGAATTTGTTATTTTATGAAGCAGTGATCTTCTGAGGGCTCTTCTTTTTCATTTTAAAGTCGTACATAAATAATCATTTATTAGGAAATGACATCTAGGGGTGGGACTAGGCGTTCTCTCGTCTTGTTTTGTGTGATCTCTGTCAATTGATTTGTTCACATGTAAAGGTATGGTGAGTTTGACATTAGATGACACAACGATGTATTAGACTGTTACCATTGTGTGGGAGAATTAATGTTAAAACAATATATATATTCATATTGGTGCTGATGTAGGTTACAATTTTATAAAGCATCTGAATCAGCTGTTAGGAATGACTGATTCTGAACAGTTTGGTGAAATGCACATGATGTGTTGTGGTACATAGTTGCTCATAGTAAGATAGCATTTAAAAACCAAATTTATTTTTGTTATGTTAAATGAGCACAGCTGGCTTGTTGGTTTCTTGCATAAGTTAGTTGAGATTATTATCAGACATGAACCAGAGAGGCCTTAATTAAATGACATCTTCAATGGTGTTTATTGTAGTGCACTATAGTGTGTCGAAAACTTTATGAGGGGTACCTGATGGTATTATCAAAGCTCACATTTTCCTCCTATTTTTTAATTGTTATTTATTGCGTTAACTGACAGATGTGCGCAGAGAGACTGTGAAGTTTATGTAGTTGTTTGAGTCATGAAAAGCTCTGGTGAGATTAAAGATTTGGTGATATGGTCACAGAACATCTTTATCTGTTATATGATAGCACATTTTCAGTGCATATCTTGTTGGTCTGGTAAGGATGTATGAATTAATTGAACTAACTTTACTGTAACTGTTATAACCAATGGCTCTGTGACATACTGAATATGACAGTTCAAATGCTTCTCTTGTTTTTCAAGTTCCCTTTTATGATCACTTTCAAATGTTGTTGACTATATAACGACATTGGTTGAGGCTAGCATTATTTTCTTCTCTGTATGTGTGTGTGTGTGTGAGTCAGTGAGAGGGAGAGAGCAAGCGAGAGAGCGAATGTTGATCTCAAAAACTGCTAGTGCATTTTGGCCCGTTGTATTTGTGCTTGAGTGAAAATTTCACCAACATTTTAATTTATTCAATAGGCAAAGATTGTTTTTCCTTGATTTCTACCTTACTACCTAGATAAAATTGATGAAGGATTCTTGTTTTATTCTATTGGAATTTTAACTTTTTGGGACCATTGTTGTTAGTGTTCAAAGCACTGTATTTGTTTCTTGGAACAAATCTCAGTCAGCCTTTATTTTATACAAATAATGGCGTTACTTTTAAAATCAGATGCCATTTTAAAAATAAAAGTTGTTGTCAAAAAAACAAAACAAAAAAAACACATGGTAATAGTTTACAAACAAAAACAACAAAAAATTATTTCATCAACAGCAAGAACTATTTATAGCAATCTTGTTAGATATTAAATTACAGGGTTTTATGCTAAGATGTGTGGATTTGTGATCTGATAATCACATTGTTCATATTTACAAAGCAAAGTTTATTAACAATAATTCCACACTATAAAATTTTGTTGGGTATGCCATTGGTTGACAACGTGATAGATGTAGTGATTAGTGTTACAATTTGACGTAACGGTAATTGTTGACAGTCACACTTTTGGTATGTAGGTACTCACTCCATTTTAGTACCCAACAGTCTTTTTTAGTTGTGTTGTATCATGCAAACACCTAGCACATAACCTTAAGAATTATAGGATTCTCCTATCTATGCATTTATCATCATTAGATATCTGTAAGTTAGTATGTCAAATGTTTTCTGTTAAAGTTTTGAATCTGGAAGTATGTGCTTCTTCAACTTCCGTTGATGTTTGGCACTGGCTGCTTGGTTAGCACAGGAATGTAGGCCCTCTATTTTAATTGTACATAAAGAATCTAATCCAATCCCCTGGATTGTAGAAATATTTTTGACAAATGTATCTCTAAAAGAGAAACTTAAAGCTATGTGATATTTGATATGCAAGCCAATTTGTAAAGCTTTAGTTTACTGTGTGATAGATCTGCCATTGTATTTTTGTGGTTTCAAAATTATTTAATTTTGCTAAACACTTGCTTTCTTTTCTTTTTTTACGCTATTGGTTAAGACAATTTCACTTCAAGTTTTATTGAATCTCCCATTGAACTTACATTAATGGTCGCCAACACTAGGAAAGTCAGTACAAACCGCTTTTGTTGCTTTCGCTCTTAATAAGAATAGTTGTGTAATTGTAGATGTCTGAAATTGGGCTATGGTTCTGATTCATAAGTTGCTAAACCAAAGGACTGGGCTTGATAGTCATGGAAATTGAACTTCCTTTAGTGCTGTATTGATTTTTATTACATCTTAAGACCTTATGGGAAGTTGATCAAGCAATAATCAAGTGTATTTAATTTAAAATTAAGTAGAAAGTGTCATAAATTTAGAATTTGTGAGAAGCCGACCCCAGTTTAGATATTTAAACAAGCTCTCTGTCTTTCATTCATTTAACTTTTATTTCCCCATTTTTGAGCACACTTGTACTTGAATGTGTTCTCTCCCTGTTTTCAGAAATGTTAGTATTTTTGAACCAGATGTACTTGCACCTGTGTACTGGTAAACTGTTGGGACTATTTAGAGAGAAGTGTGTATTGTACATTATGTTAAACAACAAACAGCAGAAAATTTAGAGCTCAATTCACCATGTATCTACCAAACTAGATGTAAGCTGTGTGTTCCTACCTCAGAAATTGTTGGTACAATGAAGATTGTGTAATATTCCAAGTGAGGTAACATGCAACTTTGTCTCATGTAGTTGTTTAAAATCTTTCTCTCTTGTCCAACAAGCTAAAAGATGTAAGTTTTATGGCACAAAACCCAGATTTTAGTGCAAGTCAACATGTTCCAACCTTTTTATTAGTTGGTATATGTTTGAGTTTTATTTGAAAGATGACTTGGTTTGGAAAATATTTCAGGCATTTTCTTGGAATTATACCATTAGGAAGGGTGTTGCAATTTGTGAAGGTACATGAGCACAGAAAAATTGTTTCTATTGTGATCAAGCAGACATGCAAAAATAAATGCATTGAAGTTCAATGATTTTTTAATAATTTTGTAAAATACATGTTGAGTTCTTATTCCTTGGTTTTTTGACTCCAAATTTCATTTCTCAACAAAATAATATTTGAAAAACAGAATTGGAATGAAGGTGACACTTATACAGGATATGGAAACATCAAAAGCAGATGCAATAAATAGCACGCAAATTACATGGTTAAAAACATAATGGTCAGATCTCATATGCTTACTGTTTTGGCAATATAGTAACTTGCTCCTCACCTTCAAGAAACATGAAAATGATAGCATTTGCACTCTTTTTCAAACCCGTATTGTGGTGGAATGCCCATCCAGCAGGTTTAGATCAGGGACTGGAAGGGTTGGGGGATGAAGCTGGTGAACCTTTAAGTACTGGGACGCAGCACTGATTACACAATTGAAAAACAATGACAACTACCCAAATTGAACAATTAGTGTCTTCATCGGGTTCTGAGGACACTCATTGTACAATGCACAGTTCATTATGAAATAAATTTTGAAAATTTCTCCCAACAATCGAACATTTATGAAAACTAAGGATTATTTATGTTCACAATATAAAAATTTTCAAGAACAATACTAAAAATATTGCTCTGAGAGGCAAGGCACACATATAATAACAATAATAAAAAAACGAATACAAAGAATTTGTGCAAAAGCGATCACAGCAGTACCTACACAAACATGCGCACGCGCACACACAAACACATACACACGCACACACACAAAGAAACCCAGCCACACACACTGACAAAATGTTAATTTCATCCATAGTTTGACAAAAGCACTGAGGTGGAAGGCACAAGTTAGTAATGAGAGAGTAGTTGAAAATGAGAAGGCACAAAGTCAATACAACCTACAACAGATCATTTGTAAATATAAACATAGTGTGAATGTATACTTTTGTCCACAAATTGTTCAGAGAGCAGGAAAGCTCATTGGACCTTACAGGCACAAAAGAAAAAAAATTAAGACACCAAGGTAAGAAGTACTTTCTTGTAGTCTCCAGAAGTATCTCCCTGTAAGAAAGAAAACAAGCAATTTAAGATTTACTGAAGCAAAAAGAAGAGAAATCCTGCAGTGTCACAATACTCACAGCAATGAACTCCTCCAATGTCTTCCCAAACTTCTCCTGGAAAGCATTTTTAATGTCACCCAGATCAATTTCTGATCGCGACACAACAATACGAATCAGGGTCTTGTCCTTGGTTCCAAGGCCCTTCATACTGGCATGCAGACGTTCAGCAAAGAATCCTACTTTACTTTTAACACACTTGGCTGAAAAAA